TGTGTATCTGTGTGCATACTAGTGTGTGTGTATCCGTGTGTGTATGTCTTTGTGTGTGGAGGAAAGAGAGCAGAGATGAGCGGAGAGAGAAGGGGAATAGGGAGGGAAGCAGGGGGATCCCCAGCTCTAGAAGCTTCCTGGCTGCCGTGCTCCCCTCCTGTCCCCAGATCCCCTCCCGGGACCTGTGTCAGCACCTGAGGAAGACCCACTGGGAGTCGCGGGGGCTCTGGGGATGCAGCGGGTGGAGGGTGAGAGCTGGAGGGGAGGGGAGCTGGGCCCCACCGCAGCCTATCCCCCTCCTCTGGGGCCTGTCCCAGCTCCACTCCAGCCCCCGGCCAAGCCGGTGCCCTGTGTGCTCACGGCTTTAACCTGCCGCGCCTCCCAGACCTCAGGGTCCACGTGTGCACTCTGCTGGGGTGTGATGTACAGCACCATCGGGACTGAGCCAGCCACCCCGCTGCCCTCAGAGCTTCAGGAGCTGAGTGTGAAGGGACAGGAGAGTGGGGCCTGGGGCAGGCTGTGTCCGGGGCTGGGCAGTCTAGAGGGCCGAGATACGCCTGCTCTGTACTGGATCCGGGCTCGGGCCAGGATGATGGAGTCAGTAGACATAGGGGGCTGAGGTGTGAGGAAGTGAGATCTTCACAACAAATGGGAAATCTGAGCGGAACAGTGATTTCTGAGGGCCGGAGGGGCGCCTGCCTGGAGCTGGTTCTGAGCAGAACCCTCGGAGGGTCACAGGCAGTGTCGGGACCTCAGCTCTGGGTTTGCAGTGGCCAGTGTGGTCCACGGTGCCCAGGGCCAGCCCGTTGCTTGCCCCCTGCCCCCTGCACCCTGCCGCAAACTCGGGTGCAGTAAGTTGAATAAGATTCTCTGGATTCCCGCCAGGCCGAGTGGGACTTGGTGCGCCCGGCAGGTGTGGACGGACAGGGCGGGCCCAGCTCCGGGAAGAGGAGCTTCGGTATGTCCGCGTGAGCTCATGAGTTCAGGAGCAGATGGTTGCATTCTAAGTACTAGTTAGCAACGGGTTAGTACCCATGTTGAGTTTACAGCCTAAACTGAGGGCTTGGCTCCCGGTGCAGAACAGACAGCACAGGCCGGGCCGGGTGGAGGCCCAGACCCAGCTGATTCTTCTCCGTGACATTGAGCGTCCACCCAGTTTGGGATGACCACCCGTTTGACACCTGATCCTCGTGCTCAGCCGTGTGATCTGCTGGAAACACCGGCATGTGGTGTAAGAGCTGGCAAGTGTCTCGGGACGCCGCCTCCTCTGAGCCCCCCAGGCGCCTCGGTTTCTCCGTGCCTCTTTGTTGGGCACGGCTGCCGATGCACTGCCTCCCCATCCCTGACCCCTTGCCCTTCATCTAGGCAGCTTGCTTCCCAGAGTCGTGGACCTGCCCCGGGGCCTTCCGGGAGATCTGCCCTTGGCAAGCCTTATTGTCACAGGGTTCCGGGTGCTCGGATCCGTGGACGTGCGGTGGAGCCCCGGGGAGGAGGCCGGCAGGATTGGGGCCTGCATCCGTTAGCTCCTCCAGGAGGCAGGGGCAATGTCCCGAGGCCCAGGCCAGCCCGAGAAGACGGTCACAGAGCAGGGTGAGGAGGTGAAGGCAGCCTGGGGTGAAGGCACAGGACGAGGGCCTCAGGATCTGCAGAAAACCAACCCAAAGCAAGGAATTGAGGGGCTGAAAAATACAAGCAGAGACCCTGAGGAGGGGCGGCCAGGGCAGCCACAGGGAAGCTGTGTGGACGGGTAGAGCCAGGCTGGTCCAGGCGCTCCGGCTGAATCCTGGATGTCCTGTCAGCTGGTAATAAACCAGTAAGCTGGGGACACATCGTCTCGTGAAAAGAGAGCTGTGCGGGGCATGCACCCTGCAGGTCGGACGTGTGGGCTCCTTCCAAGTCGGGCAGGTCCGTATCTCCGACAGAGGTTGGTTTATCTTCCTTTCTTAGGTTGAATGGTGTCCCCCCAAAAGTTATGTTCAGGTCCTAACCCCCTCCCTATGAATGTGGCCTTATGTGGAAATAGGGTCTTTGCAGCTGTGGTCAAGTTAAGATGAGACCATTAGCGTGGACCCTAATGCAACACGACCAGTGACCTTATGAGAGGAGAAGAGACACACCAGGGTGTCCTGGGCTCTGTGACAGCCCCAGCACTGCCACCCTCCGTCTCCGCTCAGCCACAGTGGGTGGGCGGCTTCTGAGAACTGCCCCCTGCCTGGCATCCCAGAGGAGGCAGCTGGCACCGCGGTGCCTGGGAGACCCGCCTCTGCCGGCCGTGACGTCAGCCAGAGGTGTCTGGGGTCAGGGTGGGCGGCAGCGAGAACCGGGAATAGCAGAGCGGCCCCGCATCAACCTGCAGAGCTTAAGATAGCTGCCGGGATGGAGACCACGCAGATGCCCGACTGCAGATCACAGTGTCACCAGCTCGTAAATCACCACATCCTCGTCGTGCTCCAGGACCCGCTCAGATGCAGTTACCCATAATCACGTCTTTGAGGCTCTAACCACTGTTGTCACGAGCAAGCGTCCCCTCCTTAGCCCGGACACTCTTCCCTCTGCTGCATTGGTTTACTTATTTATTTACACTTCTGTTTGTTTATTTTTGCCTTGTCCTTAGCACAATGTATAATTTTGCGGATAATTAGCCAGTGAGAATCAAAATCTGCAGCTGAAGCCTTCAGGGGAGGCGGCATTGGGCATTGTCTGTGGGATGGGGTTCTGCTCAGCCAGGGGGTCTCGGTGGTTGGGGAGGAGGTGCCTGGGAGGCCCTGGGCTGCCCACATCCTTCGTCCTGCCTCTGTGTGGTTTCCCTGATGCGGGCCTCACATCTCGTGCATGATGGGCTCTGGGCGGCTGGGTCGGGGCCACCGTGCACAGCTCCCTCCCAGCCCTGGGCCGGCGTGTCTGGTGCCCGCTGCAGACGTGCTGGGGCCTCTTGGCTTGCACCCAGATACGGCACCACCAGGGTCAAGGGCGGCCTGGACAGACCAGGGCCAATGGAGCAGGTGGCTGCTCCACACACTTCATCCCGCTAGCTTGTGCAATGCCTGCCCTGGACCCAGCTCTGGGCTGGGCTGGGGATCTGGAAGTGACAAAAAGGCAGGCACAGTCCTGTGCAGTGAGCTGCCTGGAGGACCTAGAGGGCTGCCTGGAGGACCCAGGGTGCTGCCTGGAGGAGGGGGCCTGAGGTGGCAGCAGGAGAAGGTGACAGCAGGAGTGTGGTGAGGATGGACACTCGGGCAGCCAGGGAGCAGCGGGGGGCTGCCAGCGACTTCTCTGCAGGGTGGGCGCTGCCACCCCTCCTCCACCTGCACCCAGGGTCCCCTCTGGGTGTCACCTGCTCATCGTTTGCTGTTCTGAGCTGCAGCATCACCCCCCAGCTCTCCTGTGTCCCTGAAGATCCCCTGTCCATGCACACGTGTGAGGCCGTCTCCCCAGCTGGGAGTAGCTCCCCAGGGGCAGAATGCCGTCTGCTTCGCTCACATCGTCCCAGGGCCCAACACAGAGGACAGCATTCAGCTGGCGCTCACTGTTTGCTGAGAGACTGAAAGAGCAAGGCAGAGAGTGAGTGGGACCTCCACGTGGCTCTACAGGGTGGGCCCAGGTGGAGGTCACGGCTGTATGGCCAGGCTGGAGCTGACCGGCCGAGGGGCAGCCCATGCTCACAGCGCCATGGTGAACTGGGGCAGTGCCGGCTGGGCTTGGGGAGGACCTCCAGCCTCAGGTGGGGTGAGGCGGCCGGGTTTCACGTTTACCGCCTTCCGTGGAGTGCTGGTGCCCTCTTTTTCCCTGTTGATATTCAGCACTTATTAGGGAGGCCGTGCCCCATTTTACAGGCAGAGCAGTGTCTGAAAGAACGCGGGTCCATCCCTCTGCTGGGACAGTGGCCCTGGGGCCCCTCCGAGAGACAGGCGCTTTTCCTGGATTTCAGAGACAAGTAGAGGATGAGGAAGCCAGTAAAAGTTATTTAGTCATCACCTTCAAAGGAAACATGTCCCTTCTCTGCACACTGGGCTGGCCCAGAGCCAGACCAAGACCATAGGGCCTCGCTGCCCCAGTCCTGTGCCCTGGGGTGGCCAAAATGCGGGAGCAGGGGCAGTGTCCATGTGGGACAGCAGGAGTGTGGGGCACGTCCAGGTGGCCTGTGTGTAACTGTGTGTGCATGTCTACACAGATCACATGCACACTGTATGAGAATCTCCATGTTCATCTGTGTGTGTGTCCAGGTCACGTGTACACTGTACGAGCGTCTCCGTGTGTACCTGTGTGGCTTGTGGTCTGTGTGACTTTTGACTTCAGCACATTCACCCGAGTCCCGCCCGTGTGGACCTGTGTGAAGTGTGCTCCGCGTCCATCTGCCAGGCGCGTGGAGTGTACACGGCTGCATTTTCTGTGTAGCTGTGTGTCTGTGTGTGCATCTTGTGCATAGATGTGTGTGTGCACCAGCCTGTGGGGAGGGAGACGGCCTGGCACGGGGGGTTACGGCCAGGTTCTGTGGCTCTCGGCTCTACAGATGTGGGGTTTCTCCCTCACAAGGTGGCGGCTCACGCAGCTGTCACCAGACTCAGGGGAGGGTCTGCACTGGGGTCCCCGCCCTCAGGCCAGCTTGGGTGCGGAGCCAAGGGGCCCAGCGTGGCCTCGGATCGCTTTGCTTTGTGCTGTCCAGGTTCCTGCGATCAGAATGCCTGGCAGTGTGAGAGGGCCCTTCCTCTGACTCAGCCTTCATTTCCGGCACGACTGAGACGAGGCCACTTCTAATTTCCTGTCTACCGAGGCAGGGCTGACAGCGTGATATTGCATAAAAGTGGAGTCTCTGGCCCTGTCCAGCGTACTAGCTTTCCTAGAGCAGGTTCCTGAAAGCATCGTTGCCGGTTTTCCCACGTCCCCTCTGGGGAAACAGCTGCCCTCCCTGCAGCCGCCGTGGGCCCTTTGCAGAGCGGGGTGGCCGGGTGGCTTGTCTTCGGGGTGGGGCCACTCAGCCCACGTCTGTGCCTCTCTTGCAGGTCAGCTGGCCGCCGGCACCTGTGAGATTGTGACCCTGGACCGGGACAGCAGCCAGCCGCGGAGGACGATCGCCCGGCAGACGGCTCGCTGTGCGTGCAGAAAGGGGCAGATCGCGGGCACCACGAGGGCCCGGCCCGCCTGCGTGGACGGTAAGAGCCCACGGCCGGGGCGACCCCTCTGAGGGCCACAGGAGGCTGTGCGCCAGACGTCCACCTGACGCAGGGCCCCCACCCACCCCGAGCGTTCTGTGGAGGCCAGTGTTCTCGGGGTCAGGCCTGGGCTGGACAGTCTCATCCGGTGCGAGTGCTCCCAAGGGCAGTGCTGGCTCGTGCATGTGCGGGCCGACTGGTGGCTGCGGGCTTGGTGTCCGGGGTGCTGGGGATGTGGATGGCAGGGTGCAGGGTCCCCAGGCATGGCTGCGGGGAGCTCCTGGCCTGGAGGCTGTCCCCTCGGTGTTGCTGTGGGCAGAGGTCTCGGAGGCCGTGCCATCTGCGAGCCAGCCGGCGGCTCTGGGTGCTCTTACCCCCTCATGTGTGGTTTCCGGCTGAGGCTGCCAGCGAGGCGGTGGGCTCCTCCTCCTCCAGGTCTGGCAGGTGTCAGGCACCCGCAGGCCCCAGGCCCGGTGCCGTGCAGCAGGACCCCGCCCCCAGGGGCTCCGACGAGGAGTGATGAGCCCATGCGGCGGGCTGGTGGTGACCTCCCGCGGGGCCACCGGGAGTTGAACTGCCTGGTGGGTGAGATGCGCCGTGTTGACATCTCTGCTGAATTAACGCTCAGAAAGGTGCCTTGCGTGAGGCAGTACCTTTGGGGATTGTCTTTGGACTCAGAATCACAAGCGGAGGAGGGGAGCACATGCAGCTGCTCTCAAGGCTCCAGCCTGGGGCCGTCCGTCCACTGGGAGAGCAGGCCGCCGTGTGCGCCACCTGGGAACTGGGCGTTGACCAGCCCAGGCCCGGGCAGTTCCGGGTCGGACCTGGCACCCTGAGGCTGATGGCCAGGCAGGGGGGTCTGGTGTCCACACCAGCCAGGGGTCGGGGCCAGGAGGCATCCGAGCGAGGCCAGAGCCCTGCCCAGCCACCTGTGACCAGAGCAGCTGGAGAGACGCCCCTTGTCTGGGGCAGCCCTGGGGGCTCCTGTGGGTCTGACCAGCAGCAGCTTCGCGTGTCCGTCCAGGTTCCTTGGGGTGGATGGCCCCACGCAGGCGTGTGCGGGGGCCTTGGCTCCTCGGGGTGCTTCAGGAGAGGTGGTCACAGCACATCCAAGTGGCCAGGTCCCCGGGGTCAGCCGATCCATCCCGTAAGGGCAGAGAGGGACTTACTGGGGTCTTCCAGAGCTGGGTTTGGAATCTGAGGTTTCTGTTTCTGGTCGGGGCCCCTTCCCTCCCCCACAGCCTCTGTGTGGGGCTCTGGGGTGCTGGCTCAAATCCACTGCCTCTGCTCAGGAGCACGCCTCCGCTCTGACCTCTGACATGGGGATAATAACAGTGCGTGTGACGGTCACCTGAGGAGTGGCGGGAGATGCCGAGCGCGGGGCTGAGACATCGTGAGTGCTGGCGCACTAGCTCGAGAGTCACTGGTGGGGGGTGGGGCGCGTCAGGAGTAAGGACGAGATCTTCACTGTGGGACCTTGGGGAAGGCTTTCTGATGAGCCCGGCGGGTCCCAGTGTGGCCCCCAAGGCAAGAAAGGCATCCTGGGAAGGGGTCAGCAGAGCCTGGAGCCCACCTTGGGGGATGGGCTGATTGGATCAGGGACCTCCGCCAGCGTCCCCAATGAGTGTGTCCTTGGACTGGCCAGGACGTGGCTGGGCAGTGAGTCTGTCTGGGGCCCACGGCCGGGACCTCTAGCCCCACTGGGTGTCGAGCAGGAAGGGCCAGGAGGAGTGAGGGGCCTTGGACTCGCGGCCGGAGGGGCAGGCCTGGCCCACAGGACTTCCGGCCCAGGTGCTGTGCACCTTTGGGGCTGAGCTGGCTGCTCAGGTGCGGCTGCATGGGGGCCTCACCTGCAGAGCCTGGGTGCCCAGAACACCCTGAGGACCGGGGGGGCTCTCAGCTGACCCACTCCCCAGGCCCCACAGCCCCCCAGGCCCCACAGCCATGTGCCAGCCGCCTTGTGCTGCCAGCCCTTTGGGGACGTCAGGGACAATGAGGAGACTGTGGAAAAGGAAGCTGACCGTGCCGTGTCGGAGGCTGGAGGCGAACGGAGGCGTCTTCAGGCTGCTGTGAGGTGCGGTCTGAGGCGCTGGAACAGGGAGGACCACGCCCCAGGGGCTGGTTTTGTTTATAAGAACCTCTTGTCTGTCCTTAGTAAAACGTCTGTCACGTGGCATCCTGTAAAAGGGATTAAACACCCAGGTGTGCGCCACTCCTGGACGTCTCTACGATTCTAGACTCCATCCTGCAAGCCTGAGTCCCGGGCAGATTTGGGGGACGGGGGCCATCTTGATCCCAGTGAACTGATTCATGCCCCCTCATTCCGCCGCCATCTCCGGCTCGGTGACGGGGACACGCTCGCATGTGATGCGAGCGGGCCTTCTCGGCTGACTTGATTGATTCTTCCCGAGACCAGAGGGAGGGAGAGCGCTCCTCACAGGCAGGCAGGCAAGGAGCTGGCAGCCGCATCCCCTCCTCTCTCCTCATTAGCTCTGCCAGAGAGCCGGGCCTGCGGGGAGGGTCGGGGTCACAAGTGACCACTAATTGAATCTGGGTCTGCTCATCTGCAGCCGTGTGCTCACCCCTCTCCCCGAGAGCCTCCCGGCGCCTCCAGAGCTGGGGCCCAGAGACCCAAATTAAAACCGGCCGTTTTCAAGGGAGACCAGACAAATTAGTTAGCTGGTGATTTTTGCACAGTGGGCATTTTCCAGGCTGCCATCTAATTTAATTTTTGCTTTTCTGTTTTCTTGCTCTCTGTGCATAATAAGTTTTCTCGCGTGTGAATTGTGTCTGCTCAAAAGAAAACTTGCGCCATGCCAGGTTGGTTGGGAGTTCACGCAAGCAAGGTTTAAATTGGGATGGTTAACACTGACCCTACCATGTGTGGAGAATCTGGGAGCTTGAAAGACTGGAGCATGTCTGTGTCTGTTCACTTATTGATTCATTTATTCATCGACTTATTCATTCATTTGCTCACTCATTCATTCATTCAAATAAGGTGGAGGAGAGGTGTAAGGAGAGTTTGACTCGTAAAGTACCCAGTACCTAGAACATGCAGTGCTGTGGGGCAGGGGCTCTGGGACCCAGAGTGCAGCCGTCTCTTCCTGCCCAGGACGTTGGCAAAGCTGCATCCATGAGGGAGCATTTGAGCAGGGTATTGAGGGATGAAGAGGAGCACACCAGGATAGCTTCTCTTGCTGAAAGGAAGGGGCTGGTGGAAGGAGGGGAACTCCTGGTCGTGTCTCTGCACTCGAAGTGTTTCCAGGTCATCCGCTCCCCAGCCCTTTTGCGGCAGCACTGTGACCCAGCGTTCCTGCCTGGAGTTGTTCTGACTTAGAGACCCATCAGGAAAGAGGTTCTAAAATAAACCCCGGTCATCTCTGCAGGGCTTCACGTCCTTACACACAAATACAGGGCAAAACCTCACCTTAAGGCTGCCCATCGTGGACGCCACAGTTAACAACAGGTGAGTGAAGTCTCCCTTCCCCACGCGCTAGCTGACATGTAAAGTTCTGAGCTACCCTCTTCCCATCAGTGGAAACGTGCCTGGTCCGGAGGCCTTGGCAGGGCTGCTGTGAGGACCGAGGCCCTGTCCCCAAGCCTCAGCCCTTCCTGGCACGCAGCAGAAAACCACCCGGAGCCAGCTCTCCCTCTCGCTGAAGCAGTGTCTTTCTTTATAAATGGAGGTGCTTCCTCCCGTCAGCTGAGTTCCCGTGAAACTCTTTAGAAAGAAATCAAAGTAAAGAAGTCTGCGTGGAGCCCAGGGGCCGGGCGCAGGCCGTCGGGAAGAGGGGTTGTTTCTGAAGCAGCACTGCCCCAGCCCTGGGCACAAAAGGCGAAGGCAGGAGTCTCAGGCCCGGGACCGGGAGGTTGTCCTTGGGAACCATTGGGGAAGGCAGACCAGTGTCCCAGCTCGGCCAGGCCTGTGGTGAGGGCTGCAGCTGGCCGCTGGGGAGGAGTGGATAACCTGGGCTGGCACAGTCTGGAGAGGCTTCCGGAAGTCCGAGCTCCCCTCTGCACAGCCAGCCAGGCTCTCTGAATGCCCTGCCAGGACACCCTAGCTGATGTGGTTGACCAGTGGTACCCGCCGTGTGCCTGCCTGTCTAGTGACTATACCCTTGTGTTCCTAAGCAGGGAATACACACATCACGTGCCCGCACATTAGGGTCAGAACTCATAACGTGCCTTTCCAGGGGAGCCCAGGAGGCAGAAACCCCCAGGGTGTGGAGTGGAAAGCCATGACCCCAGGCCCTGCGTGAGGTCACCAGAGGGTGCCCCTGGGCCGAGTCCCTGTCTTCATCCACAGATTGGGATAACAATGACCATTATCATGCTCTCCTTAGAGTGAAGTGAGATGGATGTGCAGAGGCCCTTTCTAAACCGGTGCCTGCTGTACCCAACTTAGGGAACCACATTTCCCCCGTTTACATTCTTCCCAGCAATACATGAGACACGTGTGTCGCAGACATGGCCTCGAGAGACTCTGCAGAGGGAGCGTGGAGCAGGGATAAATGTTTGGGAGGGGTCTGTGTAGATGGCTGAGATGGTTCTGGTTGAGGACGGAGTCCCCTGTCAGGAAGGAAGTAAAGATCCAGAAGAGGATCCACATGGAGCCCTGAGGGGCCTCCTCATTTAGAAGGAGGTGAAAAGAACTGAAAGTCCAGAAATAAAGCTCCACATACACTGTCAGCTGATTTTTGACAAGGGAGCCAATACCATTCAGTGGGGAAACAATTGTCTTTTCCACAAATGGCGCTGGGACGACGGGATACCCACATGCAAAAGAATGAAGTCAGATCCCTACCTCACAGTGTATATAAGAATTAACTCAGCATGGACCAAAGACCTAAATGTTAAGGACTAAATGATAAAACTTGTAGAAGAAAATAGGCGTAACTCTTCATGACCTTGGATTTGGCAAAGCATTCTTAGATATGACACCAGAAGCCCAAGCAACAAGAGAAAAAAATAGATAAATGAAACTTCATCCAAGTTAAAAA